TTGTGCTAGCTGACACCTCTCCATCTTCTTCCTCTTCATCAGGATCCAGATGTTCCATAAGGAGCTTGAACTATTATAAAAACAGATTAGTCCACATTGTAACTTTAAAAATAGACATTTGTATCACACTACATTAAATAAATAACAAACTTTCAATATATCAGCATCTACTTTCAAGAATATACCAAGTTACCTAGTTTGAAAGGATTTCAGGTTTTCTGCAAAGCTACTTTACTTACATCTAAGTACTGTTTTACTATACTCCTCTTCACTTCTTCAGTGATCTTGGAACTAGCCATATCACTCCGCAGAAAATCCAGAGTTTGTTTTGGATGGAAATGCACTCCTGTCTTCCTGTTTATCGCTTTATCATAAACTTTTGCAGATTCAGATGGAGAATACTTCTGAATCTTACTGTTTAGAGAAAACAAAAGGCAAAATCTTTTAAGGAAAGTCCAAAGTAATTACAAGGAAAAGCTTTTAAAATCTTTAATGTAAGTAGTTATATTTAGTCATTCCATACACAAGAAACATCCTGGTTAGAAATTAAATAACTGCTTTTTCTAAGCCAAAGTTTCACTACATTTACCACATTTATGTTTTTTTCTCTTATACAAATCTATTGTTTAAACAATTAGCTACAATCAACTTTTTAAAAACCTTCAAAAAATCCTTACGAAGAACTCACTGGATAAGAAGATGACCTATTATGTAAATATCATTACCTATCAGAGAATCCACAGAGGTTCTTTAAATGCTGTTTCAGCATCAGAAGTAGTAATATGCCTTGGGAGACATTTGCAAATTCGATTAAAGGAGCTGGATTTTCTGGTAAACACTTCATCACAGCATTTATATCATTTTCTTCATCAGAATCTGAATCAGAGTCTACTCGTTTCCGTAATCTCCGAGGCTTAGAAGCTTCCTCCTCACTTTCACTCCCACTACCACTGTTACTGTCACTCTCAGTCTCCTCGTCTGATGAAGGTTTTCTTTCCTTTTTTTTGTCTTTCACCATAGACTGCAAGATAGAGACGTTAACACACATTCCAAAATTAGCACAAGTAGCATCATGTAAGTTTCTAAAAAAATCTTACTAATATAATTACTGACTTAAATTAGCAAGAATTCCCTGAAGAATGTTATTTATTTATAACTTGCTATTCAAAATGGAAATTATTTATGGCAAAAAGATGCTGAAAAATTTATCCAAAGCCCACATTTTTTGCAAGGTGGGTACAGAAAGAACTGAAGCATCAAGTACTCCACTGGCATGTTACTCTTAAAAGACTGCTCAAGTTCATTAGCAGTGACAGTGAAATTCAGAGGGCCAAATACAACACAACAGCAAGAAAATTCCATTTCTTTCACCTGGATATCACTTCCATGTGTCAGGCAGATTTCCATATATACTTTGGTACAGACTACTCCAAGCTGGTTTTAGTCCTTGTCTCTTAAAATTCTCTGACACTAATTACACTGCTGACTAGAGAAACCCTCAAGTGATCATACACAGTATTCATAATAATCAGTTCTACTACTTGCAGAGCTACAGAATTTCACATGTGCACTATTACTGCACATAGTATTATTTTTTGTAACGCAGAACTTAGCATGTTCTAAGCAGGATCTCATCCTTTCTGTGCTGGGTGCTACACACTGGTCCTCAATGTACTGTCTCCTCCTAGCAGATTAAAATTTGACTTTGGTAGGGTCAGAATTCAAAGTAGTGTACTTCCCAGGCATCAACTCCAACTTGCACTTACTAGTCAAATTGAACATTCTAGAAATGGGTTTGCTTCCTGACAGTTTGCACCTTCTACTGTTAAAAGAGTTGTCCAGGAAATGAAGACACTGGATTTTTAAGAAGCCAAGGCCTTTTTCTTACAGGGTTGTGTATTGCCATAACAACAGATACTATAACTATGACTCAGGTATTCTACCTCAAGAAAAGAGATTCTGTGCACTCTTTTCTTGCAATAAAGAATGTATTTGAAGTCTTTCAGGTGATACACATGTAACTGCCATCAGCTACTTGACAACAAAATAAAAAACCAACTGGATATTATTATTAAAATTAAACAAAAACCCGACAATAAACTAGTATTTCACTATGATTCTGGGTTCATGTGGTTCCAGATGCATATAATTATTTTTCAGCCATATCAGGGAAACATTTAGATTTGATTTGAGATTAAAGATCTCAAAACCAATAATTGTTTAAAATAATGTAAGCAGCAATGTAAGGAAACTAGAGAAAGGGTTGCTTGTTTTTAACTACTGTTTACAGAGTTACTGGTCCACATCCTAATAATGGTATTGTAGTCACTGAAAAAATTGACCAAATTATAGCAGAGCTCATGTTGGCACCATAATAAATATACTAAATTATAAATGCACATACCTCTTTAAATGACTGTAGTAAGTTGCTACCAGAAACTGACAGTGTAATGTCTATATGATGCATTATGAACAGTGGCTCTTCCTGTGTTTGATAAGGAAAACAGGCTAGATTGTCTGCTATGTACAAGAGCATATTCACCTCTGTTTTCTGGAAGTTAAAGAAAAAAAAGTACATATAAACAGACATGCAAATATTTTAGATTTATACACTTATCCTATGTTCCTGATGGTTTAGAGCAAAAACGTGATCACAGATTTCATCTATGTAGCCTCCAAAACTCACTCTAAAAACCATGTATATATGCAAAACTTAGTCATACCTGAAGATACATTATTTCTGATCAGTCCAAACTGGGTATAGAAAGGTACAATGCAAAAGTAACAAATGCATTCTATTATCTAGGTAATACTGCATAGGTAAATGCCTTATATTACAAAGCAAAGCAAAGCAAAGCATATTAGAGAAATAAAATTATCGATAATTATGTCATAAAAACACATTGTAAAAGAATTTAAGCTTGTAATGTCGTATTTTAATTTCTTTTCAAGTGAAGGAAATATGATGCTTACTGCAGTATCATCAAAGAGGTTGAGTAAAGAAATTAGAAAAGCTCGTCTGTGTTGACGGTTCCCTCGGATCATGGAGTATAGGTGAGAGCACAGGGCACTGGATGATTCATCGTGTCTAAAACCTCTTACAGGATCTTTTGGGCAGGTATTAATTGCCTGCTGTACCTGGTAAGACATCTTCATACCAGCCACTGCTTTCATCTGAAATGGAAATATATTTAATTTTATTTAAACTACTGCTTTCAAAGCAGTAAAAAACTTAGTCCTTTGAAGTGGATGCTCATCTGAAGTTTAACTTTAAAACATGCACCGAGATGATACTACTTTTGAGTTGGCAAACTGATTAAAACAGAACTTGTGGCAGACATCAAAATATCTTGCAAGCTGCTTTCACTGTAAATTCTGTTAGAAATATACAGCTAATCTGTTTATCCACTTCAGCCAGATATTCCAATTTAAACAATTTTCAAGACTACCAAGATGTTTTCATACATGGACAGAGTATTCTACCAAAAGTGTATGCTTGATGTCACCTTTAGTGAAACCAACTCAGTCCCTATTTGTATAATAGGGCTAACAAACAGAAAATGAGGGGGTTTTTTTTGCATAGATGCTGTAATTTTTTTTATTTTACTGAATCTCTAGCTAGGCTGTGTAACCAACTTTCTTCATACCATCTCTGCTGCTGTTCAGCATAGTTGTTTGTTCATCTACACATCGCCTTAAATCCCAGTTGCCTATATAGCAAATTTAATCTGTTAGCCTTCACCTATTGGGTTAGGTATCTGTTTGGATGCCAACAACAGTGCAATGCTCCAACTGCAGTGGAATACAAGCAGATAAGAGAAGTTCCACAATGAAATACACACTCTGAACCTAGACTGAAGTCTTCTGAAATAAGAAGAGGGTACTGCAGCTTGGTTTCAGATCTAAAGCAGAAGTATTTGCACTATGCCACAACTCCGCAAGTCCTCACTTAGCCCTCACACTTTCCTTTCAGCAAGAGTCCTCATAAATGAACAACTTCCCTATGCTTCTTTAGCTTAGATTACAATTTATAAAGCCTTGATGCCTTAATGTTCTGATACATATACACTAAGGACTTCTACTTTTACAGCGTTTTCTCTTCCCAAGTCCACGGATACAGGAAAATAATTGCTAAACGTTATGAAACAGCTGTCATTATCAAATAAATGTTTTTAAGTACTTTTAAGTGAGGAAAATATTACTATGAATTATAAATTAAAGGACTGGAAGAAACACTTAAAATTATTATATCCTTTCTATTTCTAAGAACATAAATCTCCAAACAAG